GGAACTCCGCGAGAAAGAACCCCGACACGTGGCAAACAGAACTCAGAACTAGGGAGGCTGGGAAACCTGCCCTTGGCCACCCTCTGTAAGGAGCAGGGCTGGAAACGAAGGGACCGCGGGGCCTCCTTGGCCCCGGACCAGCCAGTGCAGCAGGAAGCACTTCAAGAGGCACTTTGCTCCTCGCCGGTGGAATTCTCTGGACCGTCCCCTCCAGCAGCACAGCCTGCTTCTGACCGGCCGGCCGGCAGGGAGGAGGGAGTGGCCGCCGCTGGGTGCTCAGCCTGCAGAGACCCTCAGCCCAGTCACGGAGCCTGCGGTCGGCCTCAGAGAGAGCCTGGCCGATCCATATTCTATATTAAAAAGCCTACCAGACGCTAAGTGTGTAAGGCAAGGACTTCTAGGGGGATCGTTTCGTTTTAATGTTTCCTTGCATTATTGCAAATCTCGATAGAACAAAAAACTAAAAGTAAAAAATCTGGGAAGAGTCGTCGTGTTTGGGATGAAGCGTCGAAGCTCAGGTTTCGACTCAATATCGAAACCGTAATTCTTTACAGGCCAGAGGGTGGCTGCCGTTTAGAAGCGAAACGTAAGTTAGGGAACCAAGGTTCCAGCTCCCCCTCCAGGGCTTTACGCTTTGGGTCCTTTCACAGTAACACAGGACGTCCAACCACTGAACTGTGTTCAGTTTAATCACAGTCGCCGGGAGGGAGCAAAGGGGACGCTAACGACCGTTAGAAAGTTCATCTAAATCTTCACTGACGCCAGTTCTCTGCACACAGCACATCTCAGCAGTGAACCGACCGCGCTCGTCCGCAGGGCGTTTTTCCTAGTACTCAGTCTTTATCGTCTGAATTTTTTAAAGTGTTGGACATGTTTCCAGGTTGTGTAAAAATCTGGAGGTCAGTCCTGCCTGGTTTGCTCAGTGGGTAGAGCCCCGGCCTTCCGACCGAAGGGTCGCAGGTTCAATCCCAGGTCAAGGGCACGAACCTCGGCCGCAGGCTCGATCCCGGGCCCTGGTCCAGGTGCGCGGGAGGCAGCCAATCGTCGTGTGTCTCTCACATTGATGGGTTTCTCTCTCTCCTTTTTCTCTCCCTTCCACGCTTTCTAGAATCAATGGAAAAAATATCCTCGGGGAAGGATTTACAAATAAAAATTTAAAAATCTGAAACCCGACCCGGTGGGTTTTCATGACATTCGGCTGGAATAAAGAGACTGACAGTCTCACTAATGCTGCCATTCGGACGCCGAAGAAACATTCCAAACTCCTGTCCTCGTGTCCCAACAGCGCGGTTTCAGCCTGGGACACGTGCTCGCAAACCCACCCACGGTGCCTACACCATCGGGTGCGCAGTCTCACGTGGCTCACAGCTCTTCACAGCCCGTGGTTACCAACGTCCGT